GATTCTTAAAGTGCCAATATTAAATCTAAGGGGATTTTCTCTAGTCGCAGCCGTGACTGATACTTGAATATTAGCTCGGCCCCTAAATGAATCCCCTTGATTAGTCAATTGAATTACATATCGCTCCACATTTTGGCCTGGTCTTACATTTCTCAACATATTATTGCGCGTTAGGTTCGCTGACACGTCTGAAACTTCATTATTAGTTTTATTTTCGATGAGCTTGATTTCACTGTAGGTTGCGGTAAGGTCTTCAGTCATAAACGCTGCTTCAGTATTCTTAAATTTCGTATCTATCGTAGTTACGGCCGAAAGTTTCGAATCATAAACGGGTAAAGACTTTGTAAATACATTAAGTAATACTAAACAGCTTATAATAAAGCACTTCCACTTCAATCTTCTACGGGCCATTTTTTATAAAGTTTGGATGGCCGCACACTTAACACACTACCGTCTCATCTGTCGACTAGACCGAGTCAAAGAGGGAATATATGTTCACATCATCACATCAATATATGTTCGTTCGAACTAATTGTCACGTATAGAAGATAAAAATTTGAAGAGATTATCTTGTCATTTAGTGAAGATTCCAAGAAACGGATATCAAGATAGGCAGTGTCTAAGCTCTACTAAATTTCTTTACCTTCTAACAAGCGAGCGTTGACAAGACAATACGACAGCAATATTGAAATTAATGACATCTATAACATAAGGGATTATACTAAAATATATTTTAACGTATAATACCTCATTGGATATCATAGCGTTAATTTCTTTTAACTTTCACAAATATTGTAAAACAAAATACAATAAGTTTATAAAAAAAAAATACTGCTGAATTCTTAGTATTATGATCGTAGAAATCCTGCGAATTATTGTCAATGGTGTCATCCCTAGAAAAACAAATGGAACAGTACGCTTATCTTTTGAACTAGAAAAGAAATGTGTAGGATCTAATTCCTTATCACCTAGAATCGTTATAGTTGCGCCACGAGAGGGATTAGGATGTATATAATATGATGCACTTACGAAACACATCAATGGATTATGGACGTAGACCAATGTACCAATATCATGTTATTTGGACATTTGCCATTATTTGTCAATGGACCCTTAGGTTTGTTTGTACTAGATAACAGGAAATTGATAGATAATATTTTTAGATAAGCGGGTCATAATATGTAAACGCTTAACAATTGATCATACTAGTAAATTAGTGATAGAACAGCTCATAGATAGGCGTGGCTTTAAGCGGGTAGTTTCACTCCCACAGAATACTGACGTACAATGTTTCATATAATATTAATACTGTGCTTCTGTACTAGTGCTGGAAGCAGTTAAGTAGCTCGTTTAAAGTACAGGCCGCCTGACCGCCCGTCTTTTGTAGGGGGCTCAACTAGAATGTCTTAAACTCCAAAATTGCGATATGAAGCACAAGGCTCTTTAAATTCGTCGAGTTTTTTTCCATTTAAGCAGTGTTCATTTAAGAGAAACTCAAGGACCTGTTATCGATACGCTGATAACTTTACCGTTGTAAATAGTGCATATGTAATTTATGAATGATCTAGTCTTCGAGATAGGTCATGATTAGCAGGATCGAATTGGCATTGCAGTAGACAAACACTCTTGTTGAAAGCCAATTTTAATCCGTCCAAAACATATATATATAACACTTTTCTGTCAAAAAAATTGCTTCAAATTTAAACGTATTTCCAAACATCACCAAAAGTCGAAATAAAAGCTTTGATAGCTCTTTTTTTTTCCAGTTACCAAGTGGGCCGGACACACGGCTCACAGAAAACCGGTGTTAAGATTTTCTTTTGCATTTCACCAAATGATTGAGGTCAGCCCAAATCCCCCGTCTCTGGATTTTGGAAAAGGGGGACTCAAAGAACAGCAACAAACTATGTGACTCTTAAGTTTCAGGTAACCGTGCATGGCAGCAGCTAATTAACACTAGATGACCCATGCTCGTTTGCTATGTCATGACCTATGCCATTAAAAAGGTCTGGCACGTTTAAGAGTAGACTGAATGAGTTTATCTTGGAAAGGCATGTACCATCTCCGTCTTCTTTGTAACTTTCCAACAGTTTTAAGTCAAATGATTATTCCATTGTTCTATCTATATATCTATATAAACGTCCGATGCCATACACGTGTTTGGTGCCATATTGTGACTAAAAATACATTGTACAGTGCGTTTGCAGTTGTGCTATGGATTTGCTTAATGCGCTACTCTTGTGATGCCACATAACATTAAGTTGATACTGTACTCGTATATACCCCTACATACCCATTTTAATGAACAGTATTTTGCCCATTGCCATAAAAGAGACATCGCTTCTCCTCTAAAGATGCTTCCAGTATTTTTTCTGTAGTCATATTACGATGGCCTATAGCTTGTCCCACAGTGTCTGGGAAAGTAGGTTAAACAAACTCAAAGCGTTCACCGATTTAGTGTTTCGAGGAGATTTGATAAGATAGATATTTATCATTTAGAAATAAAAAAAAAAACATAGTGTTAAGATGTAATATGACACTGTTAGATTTAATTTTGACTGCACTGTGATATTATACAGCTTTTCTTGATAAATAGCCTATCCAATTCTAGATGCATTTTTAGATTAGATATTAGGCAGACTAGCGTGAAAAACAAATTCTTCAGCTTTATAAAATTACTAGCGAACACGGCAAACGTTGTTTTGCCATATAAATTATTTCTAGTGAATATTTTGGTAGTTAAATAAAAAATAACTAACTTATTGTAAGTATGTGGGGATAGCGTCTGTGACTACGGGAATCGTGTGTTGTGGCCGATGAAGCCTATAAAAATGACGAAACACTAACCGCTCTTAAATAATAAAAATAAAAATGACACCTTGGGACTTACCACCTAGGGGTATAAAAATTGTTTACGACCTATTCTCAGACCTTCCAAATATAAACAAAAAAAATCATAAAAATCGGTCAAGCCGTTTCAGAGGAGTTCGATGACAAACATTGTAACACGAGATTTTTATAAATTAGAAGTATAGATTAGTACATATATTTAAAATAAAATAAAAAATATACTTAAAATTTCATTTCAATCATGGAGAATGTGATATTATCAATTACTATTCTTCACATTTCTGTGTAGAAGAGATCTCTATTAGGGGAAACTGAAAATTGTCTATTGCCAATGAAGAGTAAATCATCGTGTATATATGATGATATATCGATTACAATAAAACTAAAGACAAAATTTATTTTTTACCTGAGCTTTTCGCTACTTTAAAAAAATTGTTTTGATGAGTGATTATTTTCAGATCTAATTGATCTTGCAATTGATTATTTGAGATTGCAAAGGATATTCCCGTATATAAAAAGGAGCAACAACAGATCCAGCCATTACACAGACCCGTTTCGCTTTTGCCAACACTATAAATAGTTTTAAAACTAGATTAAGGTTAGACTCGTTCACCACTTAAATTCAAAAAGTGTATTGAATAGAAGGCAGTTTGGATACCAAACTGATGTAATCAGTCCGATAAATCTAAAGAAAAAAATTTCGGGACTCTATTTAGACTTAAGTGTTGCATTTGACACAGTAAATCACGATTTGCCATTGATAAAACTGGATCTCTATGGCATTATAGGCAAAGCGAAAATCTTTTAACGTCACATTTATACAACCGTAAATGTACGCAGAAAATCGCAACTAGCGACAAGACCACCGTTTGCATTTAAATCTTTTTTTTTTATATTAAACTAAATATCTAAACTTAGTTAAAGTGTCGGGCATCCCATTTGAAACACACAAAATCTTTGTAATTAACAAAAATCATCACATCAACAGCCTTTAATAGTCCACTGCTGGACATAGGCCTCTCCTTAGAAAGAAGGTTTTGGCCTACTATACCACGCTAATACCGCAAGGTTTACCTAACTTATTTTAAAGTTGTTATTTTATATTAATTATGTAAGTATTTTATTAATTAGAAAAAAAAGAAACTACTCTATTTTTCTTACCCGATCGCATTTATTTAATTATCTTTTGTGTTTTAATGTTTTTTTATTACTAGTAGTTTGATATAGTTTATAATTTATCTCTATATATATAAAAATGAATTGCTGTTCGTTAGTCTCGCTAAAACTCAAGAACGGCTGGACCGATTTGGCTAATTTTGGTCTTGAATTATTTGTGAAAGTCCAGAGAAGGTTTAAAAGGCGAATAAATATGAAAATGCTCGATTTTTTTTAATTCCGAGCATTTTTTAATTGTTTTCATAAAAAAAGGATTCCTTTTGTTTGTTTATTTTATAGTAGTACGAAGTCTGCCGGGTCAGCTAGTCTCTTATAATTATAGATGCACGAGATTTAAACAAAACATGTTTAAATGAATATATTTATTGTGTTCTCTGTTAGACGACTTGGACTTTCAAATAAAAGTCTATTGCTTATATTTCCCAGTCCATTTGTATCAGCAATATCTCTTCCCTATAATTCTTATTCCCTAAATATTCCTTTTAAAGTACTAGCAATTTGCCCATTTCTCGTCTAATGTCTGATAGCTGGCAATAGTCCTAAGTCCTTTTACTTTAGTGTTACCAAAATTATAGTTAGTTGACAAAATTAGAGATGAGTGCTTGAGTGATTGTATCTTGTAGCAAAGTGCAGAGTTGTTTCCTTAGTCGGCACTTACGACACACACGGGATGAATCGGGGTTGAGACACTCCGTATTCCTTATCCGTCACCACATGGACGGAAATAATTATTTACCACCACAAACATCAATATACTCGTAACGTAACATTAACAGTTGCTAAATAAATTTTGGCTCCATACAGATATTTGTATGTGTAACCATGTCTTTTTAATGGTATACGTGATTTTATAATAATCTCTAGAACAGTCAGTCATGTATGAAAAATAATAACTGTATTGAATAGAGCGTAGATACAGACTGTGAACAGCAGGTTCACCGTATTCTAAATATAAAATATCAATGTCGACTTACATGTCACCGTGATGTCCCACGTAGAAGGCTCTTCCCGCCATTGCAAGGGATCCTCTGTACTCAATATAGAATGTGTATGTCAATGAAATTTGGTCAGTAAAAATAATCAAAATATCGTCTTCCTCGCCGTCTTCGAAACGAGCATCAAAGACGCTTGTTCCTCCAAGTGTAAAAGTTATGGAGTCAATTTCTAAGTTTCTTCGATGTAATCTTATCGGTTGGTCTCTTGTGTCTATTTCTGTTATTGTCACATCAATTATAGCTCTCCCTGTAAAAGTTTCATCATCCAGATCAGGAGTTAATTCGATTGTATACGCAGGTATTTGTATTCCAGGTCGTATGTAGCTTCTAACCAAGTTACTCAAATTAAATGTTTCCTCAACAACATCGTTATTGGATTTTTTTGGTTCAATAAATTCAGTATTGTCAGCCAATAAAGTTTTCGGTACTTCAATAGGTTTGGTGGAAATTATTGATATTATAGAAAAGAACACACATATTTTAAAAACACCCATAGTTCAACACATTCACTTAGTTTTCACTCTTCATGGATAACACGCAAAAGCGTTATATGTCCGACTATGGCAATGGACAATGAATCACTAAAAGTTGTAGTTTTCAGATCAAAAATTACCATCATCCACAATCAAAGACTTTGTTTGATATATTATATGAGATAAGACTTCTACACTGCTGAGCATGATAACATATCCCCAAAATGGTTTGAAAACATTTCAATAATAACTTGTTTTAAAAACGTTTTTCATTATTAATTTATTTTTATTTTTAGCCATCATTCGATGTGTCTCTAAGTCTGTTCTGTTATAATAATAATAATAATATTCTACCACATTCAGACAACGCTATCTAGTCCCAAACTAATCAGAGCTTGTACTATGGCTACTAGACAGCTGATATAAATACATTTATACTTTTTTTTTGTAAATACATATTTATTATATTCTATATATAATAAATATGTATTTACATTAAATGAACATTAAATGTTCATGCACACAAATGTTTGACTTGAGCGGGAATCGAAACCGCGACCTTTGCAATAGCAGTCCATTCACAAAACCACTACGCCATCCGGTCGTCAAATAATTATATGTATATTTATATGATTATATAATGCGTTATTGTTGCATGATAGTTTGCCGTTGTTTGTCGTTGCTGTCATCGTATGGACCGCATATGGCTCTGGCAGCAGCAATTATCAACTCAACAGGGTTATGCGAGAGTACTAAATTTCAGCTTACTCGAGCTACTCGAACTGGTTTAAAATTCGGTTGCAAGATTTAACCACAGGAAACATATATCTATATACTTGTTGGTTGAATATGATGGGGCCTTTTAAATATAATGACAGATTCTTGCTTCAATATCTGTCTACCGTTTTTGAACTAATAGATTTATAATTACATCGAGAACGGTAGATAGATGTTACAAACACCTCATTATAAACCGTATTATCATTTTATATCGCATCAGTATAGGCCGAAACATTTTACAAACTTACCTAATTGAAAGTGAACTAAAAGTATTAATGTAATCTTTAAAGAAAATACAGAATAAAAAACAAAAAAACGGAGCGCCTTGTGACATGGGCTTCAAGTGTACAATCGTAGATAATCTCGACATGTTTTTATAAATTTGGAGAGTCAAGAAAAGAGCTTGTCTGTTCAAACTTATACCACCTGTACTTATCTGGGATTTTCGCTGTTTATGTACTTGTAATCCCTTTTCGAGTACATGTGACTCAGATATGTATATAGTGAACAAGCTGTGACCGTTACTTCGTACGCGTGAAATTTGGTTTTGGGTATTATTGGAGACTAACTGTATTCTTGTTGTGATAAGTTCAATTATCCTGAATAAGATACTATCAAAAACCCCTAAAAATATGTGGTAGTTAGATTTTTTTATATTTTATAGTTGAAATTAAAATTTGTAAGACTTTTAACTTTGTTTGGTTACGTATTTGCGCAAGGATAACTTATAAAATGTTTTATCGCTATCTTGTTTTATGTTGTGGATACTACGTCATTTTTAGAAATAACACTAGATTCTAAGCTGCAGTGGAGCTAAGTGGTGTAAGAAACTGACTGGTATTGATACAGCACGACTTGTTTACTTCAGTTATTTTCTTAGCATAATGTCGTACGGTATTCTACTGTATATTCAAATTATTTTTGTGCTGCAAAAGAAAGCGATTCGATTAATTTGAAATCTAGGCAATTGTTTTGTGTTGTTGTTAATTGATACAGAAATTTAAAGAAATAAACATAATGACAGTGGCATGTCAATAATACATGAAAATGTAATATACGTTCATTAAAACAAAGATAGCTTCTTGAAAAGAAGTGATGTATATGGTTTACATGTCAGTAATAGAAATAAACTTGTTTGAACTGCCACTAGGCTCCAAAAGATAAACAAGTCATTTCCAAGTCAATGTGTAAGATTTTATAATGGAATCCCAAAGTATAATACAAGACTTAAGTATAAACAACTTGAAATCCACAGTGCAGTGTAGGATTTGTCAGAAAGCCTATACTCGAGTGTGTATATGGAAGACTAATGTGTTTTTTATTTATTTCTATATTTTTACGTAGCTAACTAATTAACTTCATTTTTCTAAACATTTGACAAAACAGGTTGTTGCTATTGTGTGTGTTGATCTATGACGTTAGAGCCTAAGACAATTATAAACAAGTTTTAAAGGAAATTTCTAATCAAAGATATTTTGAGTTACCACCAGGCGTGTTTCAGAAAATAAGTTATTAGTGCAGCTATCACAAACCCGATAGAATATTGCTCATGGCACTTCTGTCTCACTAAGCTCACTGTCAGCAGAGAACTCACGGTTATCCTAGATTGACTCTGTAAAAACCTTCTATTGACTGGCAGCGATCAGGCGTTCCTCACTTTGCACGAAGCTTTCGGAAACGCGAGAGTCAGCTCGACGTTGACTATCAGCGGTTAGACGAAGTCTTTGGTGACTTAGACCGAACATGACATCCCAATCAACCACTATACATGAATTATTTAGAATTTATCGGACTGCTTAAAATACTGGCACCTAAACAGATATTTTGTAAAACTAAAAAATTAAGAATTTTTAATATAATGAGGTCACTTTCGCAGACAACAAACAAAAAAGAAAATATAGGTTCCAATGAAATCGAAATTTATATCTATTCTGATGTTTTGCAGCTATAATCGAAAGTGAATAAAAATACCCAGATTAGCAGCACAACTAAAACCATACTTCGATTTGGAATAACAGAATAAAGAAGGGTGTACATTGTCAATGACGACAACAATTAGCTGATTACGGGACACAAAAATCTGGGTAAATAATTGTCAACTAAACAACAAGAAATGATTAATTCACCAAAACCTAACATACACGCATAAAACGATTTAAATTACGTTCTCTTCGACATAATACTAAACTTTCGTGTTACTTTAAGAAAGTATTTAAGTATAAAGATCATAAATATTACTAAATAATAAAGTGGTTCATCATTTTGTTTGTGTATTAATTCATTAATTCATTGTTTCAACAACTAACTGCAAATCACCGTGCGATTGTCTCAGGGAGTACTTCTTGCGACGCATCAGCGCTCACCTCCACTGTCTGCTGTATGACCCCCTCTACCTAACCATATTTGATAAGAGCCTAGCAGTGCCGCTTTGAATATTCTTTAAAAAAAAGAGCTTACTGAAGCTCTTGGCAATCCAAGGTCTTTAAGTAGGTTAAAAGAATTTATCTGGTTGGTAGAAGGATTTAAGTGGTATACTGGTATACTTCTACGGCATACAACGCAACGAAATAACCATTTTTAGTTATTTCGTTGGTTAAGTCAAAGTACTTGTTTTTTTTTAAAGCGTGGTCTTTAAGGATGTTCGTTTCCCACGGTACCGTGAGTTCTACTGGTACTAGATGCTTAATTAACGTTGCATAAAGAAATATGTCTGGTCTGGACGCCTAGGCACAGATATCCCCCGGTATTCTTACGTGTACGGCTTTTCATACGGGTCCACTTATAATGTCCAGTCACTGGTGGTATTTATAATTGAGTACGGCTTTTATGAAGTCTTTTTGTCGAGTCTTCCTTTACAAGCTCGATGTTACCTCTTATATTTGTTGTTGTTCCTTTCTTAGCTCTAGCCAGTGATAACTTTACAGCTTCGTGTTTGATTTGCAGTACCCTACCATGAATGCCATGAATAATGACCCCGGTCTAGTAGCGTCTCACAACCTGTCAGTAAGTGCCTACATAGCTGTAGGTTTTTCCGTACAAGCCTTTTCTGAAGCTTTTCCCCACCTTATTAGGTTGTTTTTTTCAGAGAGAGTTATTTGAAAGGCGTTGCGATAAAATTTTAATAAGGCAGGTTACTAATCCTATAAAAGTGTGCGCTCTTTCAAAGCTGGTGGGATACAAAATTCACCTACAGATAACTATTAATTCTGCATTTCTAGATTCTCGTAGGTCCCGTTTCCATCTTGTTGTAGAAGAGATTTAGTTATTTATTTGTCGGTCTGTCTTCTAGTATTTCCAATCCAACTCTACTAGACTGCGTATAACCATAAATTTCTTAAGGAATTGGAGCCGTGACTCGAGCTCTGATGAATTTTTGTCTTTTGGAAGGGATCGAACGATTTCGTCTTGTGATTTTAACAAGACATGCATTTTGGTAACTTTTAGGTGTTTTTAGAGTTCCAAAGGTTGTTTAATTTAATTCCAAAGTAGGACTCGTATGTCCCTGTCTACAATGTTGAAGGGTCTGCAGATGGTACTAGCCCGAGCCAAGACCTCAATGACTTAGTGTTCTTCAGTGGTTCTGGTTTATATCGTATACCAGAAATAGATAATATATGATTACATTTATTGTAATAATATATGATGAATTTAATAATTTAAAAAGCCAAGAAAATAACAAAAAAAAAAAAAACCAGAAAAAAAGCCCAAGTACTGGGAGAGAATCGAACTCACACCTATTAACATTTGACTTATATTTCAGTTTGGTTGAACTTTACCGCTCGATTATCAATGGTTACGAAAACTTCGCTAAATAGCCGATAATGATATGCATAAAAAACTTAAGTTTTTTTTTTTATTATTTAATTAGATATACGTGTTTCTGTGTATTCTAGTTGTGATTTTGTATTCTTTTGGGGTATCATTTCCTAAACTCTAACTCAAAAATAAAATTTATTAGGCCCCCATCCTATGGTAGGTCAGAGTTTTATGGGAATAAAAATACTATGCCAAGTTTCATTACGATCCATTCGGTAGTTTTTGCGTGATTGCGTAACACACAGGCAGGCAAAAATTTCAAAAAATCTTCTTTTTATTATTGTATGGGTTCATCCAAGTTAATCTAAGTTAAAATATAAATATAATATATAAATATATAATAGTTATGTGTACAGACACTGTTCTACTCTATAAATATATATTTATAAGTATACATATAGAAGATAACTACGCATCAAGTTTGTATTCCAATATGTAGGTTCAAATTTAAGTAAAATAAAAGAAAATACTTCAGATTTTTCTTTATTAAACGTTTGGTTTAATATAAATCAAACAAAGTAATATTAAGATTTCATTAAATAAAATGACACCAAAAAATAATGATGAGTAACTTCGTGCTAACTTTACATTTGAAAAAGTATAATCTTAAGTTCAAAAATGAATCATTTCAAATGTGTTTTATTCATTTTATCAAATATATCATTTAAAAAATTTAAATTTTAAATATTAAATTATGTAATAAGTTATAAATATATCTCTTAATTATTATATATTTAATACCTTATTTATGAATTAATGTAAGAATATGTACACAAACAAAAAAATAATGTTATGACATTTTCTTATTTAATGGTTAAAAATCGTAACGATTATAGAAATCAGAATAATTAAACCGGAAGTGATTGCTGCTGCGCCACTGCCGTAATTCTCATTAAGCCAGGCTTCTACGCTGGCCTCGTTTTCAGTAGTCCATGTAATCGATGCAGCAATGTTTTCTTGAACTCCAGCAAGCGCGGCCCATTCACCCGCGGTGAATACTGATTGATGACGGCTGACAAGCTGTGTCAACTGTAAAATATGGTGGTATATTAGGATTATAACCCGGCAATCTCGTGCGCGACCGTCCCGCGGGGTGACAGACGGTGGCGGGGGCGAGGTAGCGCGTCATTCTAGCACACGGCCACACACGAAGAGAAGCGTTTCCCTTCCCCGCTACACCACCCGCTACCCGCTGACATCTTGAGTACCTCGTCCCCGCCACCGTCTGTCATCAAGCAGGACGGTCGCGCACGACGTTGATGGACTATAGTTACTGTTCTACCCAAGCAAAAGCTCAAATTCGTCAATGCATTCGTATAACCAATATCACTGGACATTAATACTTTCAATTCTAGCTAATCTTTCTTTTTAAGATACTTTAAGATATTAAATTCACAGTGTCCGGTTGATTGTAAAGTAGATCTAATTGGTAAAAAAAACGCTTTAGCTATGAATCTTTTTTCATGCATATCTAAACACATAACTGCAAAAAACTGTGGTTGTGGTTGCAAAAAAATAGATGAAAACCATCATTGAAGCGTGTTGTATATCGTATCAAAATTTGAGCTCAATCAGTGTAGAACTTTTTAAGTGTTAAAGCCACTCGACAGATGTAGAAAGTCATACAAAATACCTCATTTATAAAACTAGTCGATTCAATATTTTGCTGCATGACGAGTGTTAAAAGTACAAACAAGAATAAAGAAGTAAATTAAAATCTTACCCTCGTCAAATGATCTTCAGATGTGAGCCTTCTGCCCAAAGCATTCAGAATATTGGTAGTGCCAGTTAGACCTTGAACTCTGTAGAAGAATAAACAACGGTAATTGAAAAATTTGTAACCATATTTAATTTATGTGCAACTAAGTATTTTTTTATTAGATCAACACAAAAATTAACATATAAACTCAAATTCGTTGACACTTGCCAATAACAAATTTGCAGATACAATGACAAAAATAGGATGAAATTTTCCTAGCTAGAAAACATAAACAAGAAGTGTACCTTGGTTGGATGAGATGGAAGTTTTCATGAATAAAGTCCAAAGCCGCATCCAAGGATTCAGGACTCGAATTGATGACCGAGACGACAATTGTATGTCTGTCTTGTTCTCTCACTTGGGAATTGGTGGCAATTACTTGGTTCAGGTAGCTGTCGAGCATATAATAATTAGTTATTGGGAGCTAAGGATTACGACCGCCTGAGGACTCCTGCAACTTAAGAGTATTAAATGCGGTGCCGGCATTTGAGTGCCCTGACCAGAATTAGGGACCTTATTGGGTTTCCAGTAACGTCGCTCACTCGGTGAGGAACAACTTTCTTTTTTGTTTAATATTAGGATATCATTAAACAAAATGACACCAATAAAACATAATAAGTAGCTTCGTACAAATTTTACAACGTTGCGTTTAATCTGTCTCTTTAGCTGATTAAAGAGAAAGATTAAATTCCATGGGGTGCTGTAAATCCTTTCTTCACTTATCTTGTTTTTTTTTTTTCTTAGAACCAGTTTTTTGTAAGGTCATCGTATCACTAAGGTCGAACTGGCAGATATACCATGATTCCAAACTGTTAAACAAATCCCTTTTTTTCGTAGTTATTTTGCATTCTATCATTATCAGCAAAACAGATGGGATCGCAAGTTTTAGGCTTACGTATTTTCACTTTTTTTAGTTAACAACTATAAAAACAAGATAATATCCTATATAAACTTAACAAGATATATATTTTTTCAAATATGCAGATTGGATAATGAAATATGTACAAGTACTTACAAAGTACGCCGTTCCGCATTGGAAGTACATCCCAGTGCATTTAGTAAGATAGACTGCTCGCCAGAATCAGTTGATCTGAGGTACAAGTCCCAGAGGAAATTAAAATTCTCTTCACTACCTCCACGGAGAGCAGAACAATAGACAAGGATCTGGATATCAGGGTTCAGATGCTGAGCTGCAATAGACAACATCATTATGAAATTTAAAATATCTAATGATTTAATGTCATGCGATCAAACAGTTATTTATTCAAACGCTCTTTAGCAACACTCATTGGATTATCTGGAGAGATATGACCTTTGAGTCAAATTCGACTCCTCTCTGACTAGTTTTCTTAACTAGTTGTGATTTTTAATTTGTGATTTGTTTTAGTGTGATAGTTATTGTTATATTACTTACAGTATTATGAATCAGAGATAATTTTTGCATAATCTTCATTTTTTTTCTTTGTGCACATTTGAGTTACGATACAATCCAGGTCTAAACAATGTATTTATGATTTAGGTTTTAATTTATTGTAATGTGTTGCATTTGATAAACAAAAAAATAATTAAAAGCATTCTTTAAAGAAATATGATTGTGTAATAATCATTTTAATATATCTTCTCAGTATGAAAAAAATTAAGCTCTTTAAGGAACTTTTTTGACCTATTTCACAACCATAGTCATATTATGTGTGAGTAAAATAGTTATTTTCCCTAATAAAAATAAACATTTCTCTGCTTTTTTTCCAAAATATATTCATGGTCGACGCAATGTTTATCATGTCAACCAATTTAGACTGATTTCTTTTATGGCTGGTGCAACACCCCTTGAGAATGAGACCATTTACTTGAATTGGGGTAAAGAAAATGGATATTTCGATGAAGCTAAGATGAGGAATACTGCATATTTTAGATAGGAAACAGAACTGAGTATATCTGGCAGATGGCGCTTGCAACAGTACCAACCTAGTTAACGAAAATAAACATGATAAATATCCCATTTATTTAACTTTTCTATTGAGAGTAACTTAAGAAACCCGATTTCACCGAGTGTCGTCCAAACAAAGTCCAAAATATTTTTTGTCATCGTGCGGCTTAAATATACAATAACAGTTCAAGTTATAACGATAATACTTGGAAACCTCTACTTTTTGATTTAAACTATTAGCAGATTATCGGTTAGTATAAAAACAAAACAATTTACTACTTACTTCGGTTTTGCCTCAAATCTTCCAGTAGTTGCGTGGCTGTGTTAACACAGTCGGTATTGCCGTGACGACAGTTAATGTTTAAGATGATGTTCCTGTGGAAAGCCGTCACGTGGTCTTCAGTCGCAGATGCGTCAAAGCCAAGTTCTTGGTATAAAGGTGCAGTCAAATTAAGCAGATAATTCTGAAAGCAAAATATTAAGATATCAATGTTTGTTAGTTTCTAGTTCGTATTTATGAAAGATATATAGTTTTACTGAAAGAATTCCTTTATCAAGTTAAACGTCCTGAAGCGAATGTTGAATAAACTCTTTGAAAAAGGGCCAAATCGGGACTAGTTGTGAATCCCCGAAATAGAATCTTAATTAAATAAAATGTGCAATAAAGATAAAATGTTAAACAGTCTACTAATCTTGCATTTCAAATTACTGAATTTTTCATCTAATTGATTGACAGTAAATTTTAAATGTTTATAAATTGCTTGATTAAAACATACACATCGCAGATACAAATAAAGTTGCGTGACTGAAATATTCAAATATACTTTAGAACTATGTTTTTTATTCATTTCATGCACATACAAAGGCGGACTTGATGCCTGTGTTAATCTAGCAGTCGCTTTGAATGTTAGATGTTAGTGTTTTAAAAGCTGAACTATCTCTTAACATATAATATAACAAACATAAGTGCAGAGTTATCAAAATAATTATAAAATGTAAATAACTATTGTGTGTTTCTAGGGATTAATCCGTCTAATAGTGCTTTTATTTATTGTTGTTGTAGGTGCTTTTGTTTTGTTTTGAGCCGATTTAATTACGAACTGGATTATATCAATCTTAACGGCAGGATATGTATAAGCTTACCTGGAACGCTGGGTATGCGTTGGAAGCACTAAGTGCCACCTCAAGATAAGTGAAGGAAGGATTGACAGCACCCCATGGAATGTAATCTTTCTCTTGAATCAGGTAACGAGACAGATTAAAAGCAACGTTGTAGTTCTGAAAAATAAAAATTATGATATTAAAATATACACTATGATCTAATATAAGACGCCCATTTCTTTTTTTAAAGACAACGCCCGCATTAGGAATATATCCTGTGTCGCGGGGGACTTTACAAACATACATGAAACGGACACAAAGAACACCCAGACTCAGAACAACAATTTGTGGCTCACACAAAGTGCCGTCCCATGTAAAATAGAACCCACAACACTTAGCGTAGTAGTAAGCGGCGTGGCGACCGCTTAAACCACTACGCCATCCGTGCAGTCTGTAATATTTGAAGGGTAAATAAAGTTTGACAGCGAATCGTGAGACTCCGCAGTCTCGTTTCGCGGCATATCTCAAAGAGGCAGCAGAAAGGGAACGGGAGGGAACCAGCACTCTACCCGCAGAGAGGATGTACTTTAATGCACGTAATTGATTAATGACATCAACTAGCGCTGATCCAAAGGCAAGGGAATGATGAAGAAGACTCAACCGTCACGGGTCTAGATAGTTGTGTGATGTGTCCACGTGCGATTTTCTAACCTAAATGAAGTACGGCTCTCATGGCGGTACGGTTGGTAGTTATGGGATCCCCAAATGTACTAAAAAAGTTTTAAGATAAATAACATTAATATTAGTATCCAATTTATAATGAGTAGATTTATTAGTATCCTTGATCGTTTAAGTATTATTTCACATATATAATCTAAACCAACATTTATTTGCGTCAACAATTCAACGGATATGAGATTTGAATTATTCCTTCAATATTGAATTTGGCGACCCAATTCGATAGTATTTCCATTCCAGTATTCATCACGCATTTGGGCTTTGCTAATATTGACCATCTTATGAACACGCCTATCGGAGATATTAATACGAACCTACGTTCTACACAAAATATATTTTGCCATTGAGTCTTTTCACTCTTAGAACAATAGCTTAGAGCAACAGTTAATTACCTTTTAATATTTGCCTTATTTTTATGATAGTTAAAAAACAAACACACCCTAAAACCTAAAACAGAACCAAATTTTTAACGTTGATTTAATCAAACGATAAAATTTTCTCAAGATTAAATAATGCAGACTATTTAGATGTTGGGAATACCGTTCTTATATCTGTTGGAATATCTTATTTTAAGGCCTTATCCGTATGGGAAATACCTTATGTTAGGATATAGACTATAGGATAATTTTATTTTTCCATAATTTGTATTCTAAAAAACTTTTAGTTTTGCTTATAAACTTCGAGCTTTAAAGTTAGTAGTGTATCCGTGTGGTGATAAAATACAGAGTGTCAACACCCCTATTCCTACCGTGGGTGTCGTAAGAACTGACTAAGGGAGTAAACTACGTAGGACAACAGCACTGCAAAGAGAAGGAAAACTTGAAACGAACCCTATACCAACCCGTCTGGCCAGCGTGGTATAGTAGGCCAAAATCTCCTCTCTAAGGAGAGGTCTATGTCCAGCAGTGGAATTGGTAAAGGCTGTTGATGATGATGACTTTATAGTTAAATATTAATAAAAATATCCTTTGTATTCTGTTTTTGAATTAAAATTGTCACCCTTAACTATCTATGGCACGGAAAGAAACAATGGCAGTTCAAGTTATACTGGCAACTGATATAAAATAATACATTTAAAACTTTTTACCGAATTATGTTCGAAATTCGACCATTAACCGAACTCTAATGATAACAAACAAATCATAAGATATCGTATCGGTAGTTCTAAAAGTCACGAGATTGTGAATAAAAGATACCTTCTAATCCATGTTTTCCCAAATTTGTTTTGAAGTTTCTACCACTTTATATTGCATTTTTTCAACCATGAGATTTTATTTATGGCGATGTACGAAGATAGAAAGAAATTTTCTATTCAATGTTTATTTTTCTATTTTATTTTGGGTTACCGCAGCTGGTAACCTAGCGAAAAATTCAAGATTGTTTCTTTTATGACCAGTCGCCTGCATGATACCAATTCTCCTTTGGGATAATAATCTTTTTTAGACGGGAGAAAGGAAGGAAAATTTAAAATTTAGGTAAAGACAATGGACAGGACGAATTAAGGTAAAAGACAGCGCAAGTTGAGATTTACGCTATTGTAATATTCCTTTTGCTATCTGATGATAGGAAAGGGGATATTGCAGTAGATCAAAAGAAGCCCAGGTCACGTACTTGCATGTACTGTCCTTTAATTAAATAGTTATTAATGGAAGATTAAAAAAAATCATCTTACCAAACGACCATTTCTGGCTAAGTTGAAGGCATCGTCCAGAAGATTTGCTCGGTTAAGAACATGAATGACCTCATGATTTGTATGAAGTGCTCCTGCAATCGCTATCCAGTTTTGTACATCGTAATTCACCCTATAGTATCCTTAAACAAAAAAAAAAAAAGTAAGTTTACAATTATTTTCAATTTTTTTAGGTTCTGATCTTACTTATGTAGTATCTGCAACTGAGTTAGTTTTCTATTAAATACCGGTAAATCTAAAAGGAAAAATATTTCAATATTTAAACTGCTTTAATGAGTTCTTAGACAGGTAGAACTCCGTTCTTTGCATGCTACTATTATTAAATAAAACAAAATTACAATGTTACATCAATTAATTTTAAAATAAGAAATTTATTAACATACTTTTCTAAAGACAACTCCTGCACTAGGAATATATCCTGTGTCGCGGATTTATAATTCCATAAAAAAACCTACCAGTCTGTTGTTTATTGAAGATGAACCACTCAGCTGAAGAAAGTTCGGGAATGTCAATTGATCGAGCAGGTAATGGAGATTGTATCCAGGCCATAGGTTTAGTGTCACTAAAGTCAGGGGATGAGGATAGTACCCAGTTGACGGGAACAAGCCAACGCTCTGTAGAATTCGCCCTAGCAGTAAGGTAACGTTCCTGTTGAGAGGAAAATATACTTTAATGTTATTTCATTATAGTTCATATTTCAATAAAATGCTATAAGAAATCGAACAAAATAGTCTAACTGATAGAAAGTCTGACCTGAACACCGAAAGTTTCAAACGAAGGTAAACGAGCAGACGGGAGGACCCCCGCAACTTAAAATATACAAGTGCAGTGTGTGTGAGTGAGTGTGCTCAGAGTTAAGGAGAGAGTAACGGTTTGGGCTCCGTTAACCTCACTCACTCAGTGAAAAACAATGAAAGAACTGCTCAACACCGGTTTTCTGTGGTATATACTAATTCTTCATTTTTAAAGGCCGGTTTCTCTCATGATACATATGCTATTGCAGTTTGAGTACTCAGCCCCGGATCTACGATTTTGGCGAACCAGGAAATACGTTCCCTTATAGTGTTGAACTGTGTGGCGCCTTTTTCTTACAAGTCGACGGTGAGCCAACCAGGCTTCCGTATGCTAGGCGCTTTGTAGAGCAAGTTTTTTATTTTTAATCATACTATATTATGATTTTGGCGCACCCTGAAACTGCCACGCGGGGCGGGTGCCCCGGTTTGCCCCCCCTAGATACGGGGCTGTAAGTGCCAATCACACCTCAAAAGTCTAGTCTACTAATACTTTTACTACACATATTTTGTTGTACTCGTACCTGAGATACGACAACAGAATTTGCAGTGCTTGCGCTTCGTTCAATCGTGAGTACAGGGAACCCGCCTTGGTTAACCCACGGCGCCAAGATTTCCTCCACAGTGTAAGAAATACTATAATTGGCCTGCGCCACGGCGTTCTGGAAGTGAAGATATAGGTCGGAAGGATGTGCTGCTCTGCGAGACCTGTGGGAGAAGTTTTTATTTTTTACTTATATACGTATACGTTGAGTTTTTCAAATTACAGGAAAGAGAGAGAGAAAAGATGTTGTACGTCAAAAATACTTTGATAAGATATATCCCTATGTTCTGAAATAGACCGCGATTGATTGATGGTTGATTGATAAACAAGTAAACACATACATAGCTCTTATGTACAATCTGACTCCGAGTTGAAATACTTCAGGTGTAAGAATGTGTTGCAACATGCGAATCACGGATGCGGCTGAAAAAATAAATAAAAAAGGTTATTTAGGATTAGAAACATTAATTGAATTAACGGTTTGTGACGTCATACCTTGACAATGACAACTCATTTGCTTTACATGTTTTTACAACTACAAAGTATTATATTCTAGGCTAAAGCACATCTACCTGTTGGTATATAAGAGATATATTTTTATTCCTTATTCATTTAATTACTGTTTTAATCGTGTTTAGATATTTATGAATCATTCTTAGTAATTACAGTATTCTTGGCTGAAAATAAAAGTCGTACGTCAAGTACAATCAAATATGTAGGAAGAAAGAAGGTTATGAAAACAAAAGAAATGTTGAGAGTGTCATATAAACTAACATAGTATTTATTTATTTGTACAAGTTATTATTAAACACAAAATTCCAATGCAGACTAGACACAGAATGTAAATGCAAAAACAGGCAAAACGCAAAGAAAAATGACGAAAACAAAACTCTAGCCTAGTGGCGTAAACTATCACAGGATAGATATCCCGTATCTTCGCTATTCCGGAATCTTCAATCTAATATAGCCTTAATTCGCTCCCTTTTCCAAGAATGCCTTTTTCCCTGGCTCCTATTTTTTTTTAATCTATCCGTTTTCTTCAAATTGTATTCCGATGGAAGGTAGGCGTCAGACAAGCTTTTAAAATCCCCTTTCAAAAAAAATATTTTTAAATCTGTATTATGTTTTTTCCTATAATGCGTGACATAAAAGTTGGCCAATGAACGAAAATATATTATTTTAATGTTAAATATACTGATTGCACATCAAATTCGTCAGAGTTTACAAACGTAACACATACAACAAAGTAACTATTTTTGCAACTCGTCTGGCCAGTGTGATATAGTAGGCCATTACCCATTTTTTAAGGTTTAAAGCGACCTCGTCAGAAAGGAGCTGCTTCCAAAAAAAGTAGATTAGGTTCGACCTGCAACCCTACAAGAAAACGAATTGCTGTTAGAAACAACCTGTATCCAGAATAGTAGGTTAGGTTATAAAAAAGTTCCACTTCTCAAATGATCACAAACTCAAATTCTTGCTAAAATAATAATATTCTGAAATAACTATTTTGCTTTGCCATCAGTATTTTTTATTCAGATTTTTTTATTTGTTACGCACATTGCTCTGACTGAAGAATAAATGGGGAAAAAACAGGAAATGAGGACGATCTGGCTTGATCTATATAAGACTCCTAAATTGAGCTCTTGAAAAACATCATATCAGGTTTTTGGCAGTCGGATATGACGCGTTATTGCGTAACGCTTCTGTCTCGTATAAGTTGTACGAGTATATGAAAAATACCTGCAGTGACAAAGACATATTTAATACACATGTCACTTGCAGATAAATGTTCAATAGATGTACTGATAAATATTTCATCATGTAATTTCATACTACCTACGATAAAAAATGAGTTCATTTTGTAAAGATAGAACAAAACGGAGCCAGAGAAAAGGCGAGCCATATACACAATAATTAGGCGAATACACCATTTTAGAAACGTGTTTAGAATCTTGTAAAATCTGTCAAATACTTTGAAATTACTTTCATATTAAAACAAAAACTTTTTACCAAGCGTAATAGAAAAAAAACGTCATATTGAAATGCCATTTTAAGTTAGTTCTGCAAAGAAATATTCTGCATGCTGAACAGTTCTGATAATAATCACAATAGATAGTGATAATTACATCACAGTTTTGGGTACAAGTATTTCGTTTGCAAAGGAACTGATGCAGAGTGTTATAAGCGTTTCATTGTTAGGTACTCCTATCTCTACCAATATAGTCACTGGGGTCTAGTTTTATTTGACGCTAAGAATGTATTAAAAATACATACTATACAAAATAAGCGAGTAAAAATCTTTGTACACATTTTAAAGCAAACGCACAGACACTAAAATTTAAAATAAAGTTTATACGTAGAAGAAGCACACTAAACTAAACTTCGTGTGGTGACGGATTAAGAATACGAAGCGTCACCACCCCTATTCATCCCGTGGGTGTCGTAAGAGCCGACTAAGGGGGCAAACTACATAGAATAACAGCACTTCAAAGAAAAGGAAAACTTGACACAAACCCTATACCAACCCGTCTGGCCAGCGTGGTATAGTAGGCCAAAACCACCTTTCTAAGGAGAGGCTTATGTCCAGCAGTGGACTATTAAAGGCTGTTGGTGATGAAACTTTTATAAACTTTTATATGTGCAAAGAGTTACAAAATATGCGAAAGACACTGCCACAAAAAGCATCCAACGCCCTCACCGCTGATTTAAGAGCTCTCGTCAATATGAATCAATCCTACATTCCTTTGTTATCAACATTTGACACATGATTTATCTCGCCGTAAACACCAGCAATTTGGAACCTATAGTTAATAACCTATAGTCACTGTTTAACTTAGTTTATATTTTATCAGTAAATTAAAGGTGTTTACAGTATGAATGCCAACACACTAGTCTTTAACTTAAGGCATACTTTATCCGTTATCTCCATCTTGAAGGTATTTATTGACGTTTCAAAACCCCCAGGGAGTCATCATTTCAACAGTTATTGGCAGAGAAGTGACATACAACACAAAGAAGAAATAAAATACGTCATAATTTCCAAAGCCTTAAAACTGTACCCTTTAAATATCTACGACAGTCTGTATTTTTTACCGTGACGTAAACAATGCAATTTATTTTACTTTTGATAAAGTTGCCACAAGAAAGACGGGCGTAATGGTTGACATCCAGACAGTGAATACTTACATTTTTGATAAGCAACCGCGTTGAAAGTTCCTAAGATTTCAGCAGGAGTATAGACAGGGTATGTCATGGGATTGACGCTGTTTACAGCATCCGCTTGAAAGACATTCTGTAGTATAAGCAGGAACTGATCTCTCATACGCCATGATGGTCGAATCTATAAAAAAATATATTGTATAGCATTTTCCCGTTGATCCACTATGATACTTTAATTAATATCTTTAATTTACGCGCAACACGGTGCACAAAATACAACTTACTAGACTAGCCATGATCTGTCTTGGCTAGTCTTGTAATTTTTTAAATACATAACTGTGTATTTATTAAAAACGATTCTTTACAATACACGGTGTGGTCACCATTAAGGGTGGTTTGTCGGTGAAGATAGGCTCTGAAACTATCACCAGATCGGCAGTTCACCGACCACGAAAAATTAATTTAAAACAAGTTTGATGCGCGTAAATCATTATGAATTTCAATAAACCTTATATATATAATGAATTGTCTATCCCTTATTTTCTCCCGTCGAATTCAAATGGGACCAGAACTGAAAACGAAAATCAAATTCAAAGAATATTTTGCTCCAGTCCAGTTCATCCAATATTCAATAAAGTTAAAAATAAAAATAAACTGAAAGGATTCCACCGTTCAGAAAATAATCTTTTGTATTTTTTTTTAAAGAAAAGGAAAATAAATGTTAAAAAAATATACTCGTGAGTAATCTTCGATAGGTATATAATGTAAAGAAAAGAGGAGATAGGTGAGATCATAGGTATCTCCTATCAACGGATACAAAATATATATTATTATCGACGAATCAGGCTTTTCCAAGATGTCAGTGTGATGATAACTTAAAGTGATTTTGGCAGAGTTAAATAGGCCTCACGTTTTGTCGTAGTAGTTTTGGAATCTTAGATTCATTATTATATTGCAAACTAAAAACAACGTACACAAAGAACACCCAGACTCAGAACAACAATTTGTAGATCACACAAAGTGTCGTCCCATGTGGGGTTTGAACCCACAACACTTGACGCAGTAGGAAGCGGCGTGGCGACCACTTAAACCACTACGCCATCCGTGTCGTCTCAATAATAGTAATCCCAGTTCCAATAATAACAGTAGTAGTTATAAAATCATGCTCCATAAAGAACGAGAGATTCCCGGACCGGGCAAACTTTTACAGGATTTTTCTGAGAGGAAAGATAGCCAAGTTACTCCTTATATAGATAGCTGCCTGGTATTAAAATATTATCTAAAGCGCTCCAGCGGTTTAGAAGATTACCCGGAACAAACAGAAAGACAGCCAAAAAAATTAAACTGGTTTTTAGGTATAGGTATCGCGCAAATAACCGTCTGAGCATGAAGTAACCTATTATTTTAACAATACAAACAGACACTTTAGTTTTATTTATTTGTATAGAGTATAGATGTATATCAGAGTCAGAAAGAACAGAATTTTTTTAAAAAGAAAAAATCCATCTTAGTTCTTACTGCATCACTCGATCGCAGTAGCAATGATGGCGTCAAAGAAATATGAGAACAAACTTACGATATCAATGGCATAGTGGTCAAAGAAGGTAGCGAAACCTTCGCTCAGCCATAGGTAAGTCCAAGAGATAGGCGTGACTTCGTTTCCAATCCAAAGGTGTACATTCTCGTGTGTGATGAGCCTGGCTACACTTTGTTTGCTTGCCGTGGTAGTTACACCGTCTGTCACCAGAAGCGCTATTTCTCTATTCAAAAACACATTAGTATTGTTAGTATCCTCTTTGAAGGCATCTTTAAATATACATAATAAATGTCCCACCGGTATCGGGCGCAGATACTAGTCTGCCGGTATTTAGGTTTTCTGAGAAAGAAACCAGCTCTCACGGTACATGTCGTACTGAGAGAGACGAAGACTGCCTTCTGCACCAGGTGTTAAGGGGGGTGGTCGAGGAACTCATGGCCGGATAGGACTATCGGCCCAAGTACTGCTGAATTTCCCAACCAATATTTCAACCAAATTCAAATAATAGGTCTTTACCTATGAAGTTGCCGTTTTGTATGCAATAACTGAAAGTACTTATTTTTCCAAACTTTTTTATTTCTGTTATTCGAAGTAATCACCCATGCAATCGACGCATCTTTGCCAACGCATTGGCAGTTTATTGATGCCCTTCTTGTAAAAATCAGCTGGACGGGAGGCAACAAATTCTTCAAAGGCATTTTGTACTGCCTCTCGGGAATTTAATTTTTTACCCACTAAAAAGTTGTCTAAATTTTGGAAAAAGTAATAGTCGGTAGGTGCAAGGTCTGGTGAGTATGGCGGATGAGGGAGAGCTTCCAACCCCAACTTGCTACCATAGTACAAGTTCTGCTATGTTTAAGATCAAACGGTGACACAGAGATTTATCAGTCACAGACAGTTCCGCATAGAACAAAATAAATTAACATACCTGTAGATAACTATACCCCAGTTTTCCATAGCTCCAGCAGCGAAATCGGGTACAGCTACTTTATCCAATTTTGGCAGGTAATACAGAAAATCATAGTAATCAACTAACGAGGCCATGTTTTCCTGACCAAATTGCATGGCGAAGGCAGCACTTTCTTGAGTTCCTGGCCTTGAATAGACGCTGAAGGTAACATTGAAGATTTCCTGCTGGTTAGTAACGGTCTCGAAATTTGAGACGAGGAATCCATGCAGGTATGTTGACATTATTGGAGTGTCTTCAAATTCATATTTGTCCCATCCTGTTACGTTTTGTCTGTAATAGCAAAATAAATAATAAAAAATTAGCGCTAAAACGTTTAACCACTGACATTTTTAATTTTAACCGACTCAAAACCGGAGGAGGTTCTATATTCAGTTTTTGTTTAGTATGTTATTAAAATCCTTTAGGAAAACCTTTTTCTTTGGTAATATTGAATAAACCTAGACGTTACCATTTTACTTTAACAGAAATAGTGACTCATAAATTTTGGCAAATCACACTACTTCTAAAAAAAAAGTACTAGGACCCGGTTTTGGTCGCTTCCTATATTTTTTTTGTATTTCTTGACAATAATACTTTTTATTTCTGGACCAGGTTTTAATTTTATTTTAAATATTACATAAAAAAAATTAAACTATTATACTTTTTTTTTGCAAATAAATTTTTCTTCTTCTCATCGAGGTTTGACGGCTAGACTTTTGGGGTAAGCCGACGACAATTCACGACCGTCGAAAATTTTAATCATAATCTTGATATTATTAAAGGTACAAATCCAAGAAACAATATGGCGCGCAAAAACCGGCCCTGAACATATTACACTATAAAGTTTTCCAGCAAGAAAAAGCCACAAGAATGTCATTTAAAAAAATTAAAACGCTAAGATCTTAAAATACCTTTGTGTTAATTTAGAATTTATAAACTCGGTTCCAAAAATAACGGGTCAGTCACATAAACCCGAATATCGCCCGAACTACGTATGCCATCCTAATGAAACGAAGACTGTTCAATTGAGAATTTAATTATACAGATAAAAAATAAAATAAAACTTAAATCTAAACTCCCTAACTCTTAACTTATCTCTAAATTAAAAAAAAAACTAAAGTAGTCATATTTTTCTTAAGATTACATTTTTTTATGATTGTTTTTTTCCTGTTTTTCATCACTTTCTTCATTTAATACTTTGTATTGCCTCCACGAGCTCTTCTGACAGCTTCCAGGCGATTAGGCATGCTGTACACCAAATTTCGGAGCCGGTGCTGAAGAATACCTTCCCATTCCTCCACCAGTGCTTGTTTGAGCTCGGGAAGCGTGATTGGTGGGGGGTTTCGACCTTTCACGCATCTCGTCCCAGGCGTGCTCGATGGGGTTTAAGCCCGGGCTTCGCGCTGGCTACTGCTTGAGTTCGATACCAACCTCTTCAAGGTAGTCATGTACAATTCTGGCGGTATGGGGACGCGCATTATCATGCATTAATATGCCATGCCGGTCCATCCTGGCCATGAAAGGACCTACATGTTCATTGAGGATCTCTTCCACGTACCTCTCTGCATTTAGAGTTCCATTTTGAATGAGTACCAGCTCGGTGCGGGCCTCAGTAGAAATCCCAGCCCAAACTTGTACGGAGCCTCCACTGTACGCCACTTTTTCCTCCACACACGCTTGATGGAAGCGCGAAATAATTGAACGTCATTCAATTATTACTTAAAAAAAATCTAGTGGACACATTTTCGCACTAATCTAAGCTAGACTGGTATAAAATACCTATGGCATTTAATCCATTATTGTACAATTCTCACATGTGCATAAAGAATTCGAATAAATAAATATAATTTTATTTAATAGTACCTATTCAGATGGAGTTTAGTATATAAGCATTTCAGTTGTGCGGCTGTGAGCTTATATTGTTACTTAAACAAAAAAAACTTTGTCTCTTACTTTAGTTCATTGGCTCTATATGGCATGTTGGTCCTCACTACGGTGTGCGTTGGACGTGAATAGATAGTGGTCCTGAAGATAGCCTTGAGAGCTGGCTCATCAAAGCATGGGAAGACCCGACGGGCAAATGTAGGCTGCAATTGAGATGTCACGAGGCTCCTGGAATTTAAAGTTGAGTTGAATTCAGTTACTTTATTTTAAGTCTTACATGTTATGTATTAATATCTATCTATCCAGCTGGACTCTGTACATCTTTTTTTAATTTGATCTATCAATAGTATCAAACATACTAATTCACACAATTATAACAGCAGTGTAGCGCAAAGTTGTTGAATTAAAAAAAATGCATATAACATAATGCAGATATAGCTGGTTTTTGACTTCCATTATAACACCCGAATGGCCGGGTCACGCCGATAGGTTTCCCCGATATTACCTAAGTAGGATCCAAATTGTAAAATACTAGCAAAATGTAATTCTTCGGCAATAGAGGCGTGATTGTATGTATTTTATTTTTTATATACATTAGGTTAGGTTTCGAAGTATTTACTACTAACATCTCTAAACTCAAATCGTATCAGGGTTTCCAATACTGGGTATTTGTGTAAAGTAGATATTTAAAACTGCTATAAAACTAGGAAACTATTTTAAATTTATGAGTAAATGTAAATAAATAAAACTTACACTGTCTGTCCGTTTTCAACATATGTTGACACGTAAGCACCAAACATATTTGCTGCATAGTGACCAGTATATCTGATTCTAATATATATATTTTGATTAGTTACTAATTGTTGAGTCAAATAAATCCGCAGCAAGTGAGTATCATCATCTGCCTGCGAATAACTTGAATACAAATTTCCGCCTGCGATTGCGCCTGGTGGTGCTGGGACAACAGTAACTTGGATTTCTTCAATAGACATTTCCATGGCATGTAAAACTATTTGATTTGTATTGTTTACAACCGTGGCTGTGATGGTGACTTCGCCATTAAAACTTTCAGGGCTGTTTGGATCAAAGTACAGTATGAGGTCATAGAAGGAAGGTTGTACATCATTGGGTAAAGGGTATCTTTCAGCACGATCATCGATGATTGTGTCCGTGACCTGTTGAGACGAAGCAGCACTGATTGCTGACCCCAAAAGGAGAATAAGTGGTAGTAAATACATATCTGAAACAATAAAACAATATAATTAAGTATTTGGTCACAACCAACAGCAGAGTTTTTTGAGGTTCTGCATTTCCATTGGCAGCAAAGACTTTTGCCATCTGTTCTCTCTTTTCTCTTTTTTATGATTTGGTATGTTCTCTGTTAATATAAAATCGTTTACTTAATGTTTTTTTGATCAGATCAACTATTTTTTATTATATGTAACGAAAATACCTAATGTCGTTACAGTAAGTCTGTTAACATATATTCCAACTTCTTCTAATCTGTGATAAAAGTAATTGATATTTATTAATATTTATTATTATAGAATTTATGAAAAGGCGTTTTTATACATTTAACCAGATAATAATTTTTTAACTGACAGATTTATTAAACGCAGCCTGATTATAGCGATAACCGGCGAATATTTGACGCCGTTGTTGACAGATTTGTGGCTTCGATTCTCATATTAATACTTATTATTTAATACTTATTTAGAGACCTATTTCTTAGCTTTCCATGGATTCACCAGGGTAATTCCGGGTGCCAGATCCGTCATGTGATAAACGGGGCAACGCATGCGACTTTGACAGCGCCTGGGAATTGCGACCCAGGAGTAGTTTTGGTTACTCCTGGGTCACGCTTCGCAAATATAGTATAATTATGTCTGAATGTATGTCCATGTGGTGACGGCTTAAGAATACGGAATTTCACCACCCCTATTCATCCCGTGGGTGTCGTAAGAGCCGACTAAGGGAACAAACTGTACAGGATAACAGTACTGTAAAAAGAAGGGAAACTTGACACAAACCCTATACCAACCCGTCTGGCCAGCGTGGTATAGTAGGCCAAAACCTCCTTTCTAAGGAGAGGTCTGTGTCCAGCAATGGATTATTATAGGCTGTGGATATGCACACATCACATTATGCATGTAAAATATGCATATACCTATTAAAATGGTTTTATACATCAATTTTTGTGTAATGTATGTACATGTCTCTATATCTTAATAAAATTTGAAAGCATGCCAAGCAACAAAACAAGCTGAATTTCAATTTGGTTATAAGTAGCGCTGATATATATATACGTCATAGGATATGATTACCGTGGCAGAAAATAAGATAAGTATCTTTTGTAAAACAGTATGTTTTTATGTTTAAAAGGCGTCATTAGGAAATTGAGCTTATAATTACAATACTCTGGATGATACATTAATTGATGCGAGCCAAGGTCTGTTCTGGATATTGGACAGCTGATAACAGCTGTAGAAGTTCACCAAAATCAAACTTTGAAAAGTTTAACAATAGTTGTCCAAAGATTAAAGTGACAATTAACGTACAAAAAATTTTGATAATCACTTGTACTAAAAGTTTCTTCCTGAAATCCTAGTTATGACGTCATTAGGTCTAATACGCAAAAGTAATAGATTTGTTACACAGATTATTTACTATCGATAGAGTAAGCACATTTTATATACTTCTAATTCTTTAATACTAAAGAAAAACGTCAATATATCATAGATTTGACAAGATATGGATAACGTTCAGAATATCAATGCTTGTTTTGATAACGATAAGATATCTGACGCTAAAGATAAGATTATGAATAGATCCACTTCAATTGAACAGGTTTTACCAATATGGCATGAAATATAAAAGCGTGTCAAAGTAAATTCCTTATAAAGTATGTGAGTTATTTTAGTCTGAAAGTTGGAATTTCAAAAACTATAACGATGGCCCGTTCGTCTAATGGTTAGCGATCCTGATTGCTAACTAAAGGTGGTGGGTTCAATTCCCACCAAAGAAAAATATTATGTGTTGATTTGTTCTGTCTGAGGTTATTTTATGTATAAATAGCGATACTCCCCGGCTTCGCATGGGTGCAATGTAAATACTACTATTACAACTAATGTGGTGTCAGGTTTTCTTTGAAATTCTAAGATTTTCTTTACAATAATATGCATGTATTATACAGATAAACCTTCCTCTTGAATGACTCCCTCTATTGGTGAAATCGCATTAAAATCCCTTGCTTAGTTCAAAAGATCTCAGCGTACTATAGTAAGAAGTGTCGGATAATAGTCTAGTTACACATTTTTCGGTCTCGCTCCGTTCCGCTCAGAGGGTGTAACGCGCGATAAGTTAACATTTAGATTTTGGGGAACGAGATCGGAGATGGAGAATGAATAATCCAGAGCAGATGGATCAATCTCTTCTATCAGCTGTTAGTTAATGTTGCGTCAGGATCAAATGAAAGTACTTTAAAAAAATATGATTCCCTTTTTCCTTTTTTTATGTTAGTGGGGGCAGACGAGCAGACGGGTCAACTGATGGAAAGTGACCTTACCCTCTAAGTGACCAAGAACTGAACTCGATATGTCGATGCCTAGGATTCCGATGCTGGGTGAGGCAGTCAGGGAAGTGGTCTCAAACAGAGGTGATACGACAAAAGGTATCTTCTTTGCGGTAAACGCACAGACCTGTGTATTTTTCGGGTTGAACGGGGCTAGATTTAATCGGCCAAGTTTCACTTTCAGACCCAACTTTGTTTCGACTCTCGATAACGTTTTCCCGAGAAATATTCCGGCGGCCTGCAAATATTTGCATAGCAATGGATGCTACTAGGTTCCAACATGTCATTGATAAGCAGAAGAAACAGTGTTTGTGATAGCCGTCGACAACGACCTTAATGCTTCTGTCCGCAAGGAACCCAATTACACAATTTCTCGGGAAGCCCAAAGGAAGGGAGCTTCGAGAGAAGTGTCTTAAGCCATACCAGATTGAGGGCCTTCGCCATGTGCAAACTAACCTCACAAGCCTCTTCTTTGGTTTCTTCTTAGAAAGACGAGAAGATCACCGGCTGAGCGACCCCGGCGAAAACAATATTGTCGGTCATTGAGTAGCTGGTGATCATCTAAGTACTGGAGGAGCTGGCTGTTGATATTGGATTTCATAATCTTAGAGAACAAAGGAGTTATGGGTATAGGTCTGTAGTTGGACGGGTCAGAGCAGTCACCTTTTTTAGGGATCGGGTGCACAAACGCTACCTTCCAGGAGTTCGGGACGACGCCTTGGGAGTAGGAGAGATGAAAAAGGCGCGTTAAAACCGGTGCTAACTCTGGAGCACACATCTTCAACACGATAGGAGAGATTCCATCGGGCCTAAACGACTTATGAATTTGATTTTTGTGTGAACCGGATATCCGGCATATTGCTCTGGCACCGCGGTATGGTCGGCGGTACGTTTCCTCCGTCATCCAAAGCTGAGTTGGATGCAAAGATATTCACGTTTACTTAACACTGAGGCGTCAATAAAAGAAACTTATAAGTAATTTTAACGACCGTCAATTATCCGTTATACTATCCACTTTTTTTTATTTTTTAAAAGGTCTACTAGCAACCGAAATTACTAGTATTCCCGTTAACCCCTCCCGCTAAGCTAAATTGCTTGTGTTAGGAGTGGGTTCACGTCGGTAGTGTACTGGTCAGGATTTGAACCCACGACCTATTGATCGCAAGTCCAACGCCTTAACCACTAGGCTACCGCCGCTTACTATTTTCTATTCGTTCTTATCTCTATCTTTGACGAGGGAGAAGGGCGATTGTTATAGTAATGTTTTTTACCGAAAATAACCTTGACACTGAGTTAGAGTCTCGATAAGACCTTGCAGAAGTCATGATTAACAAAGTCGTCAAAAACGTAACAACGTAATTAATAAAACAGAATTACCGAGTCTGGTGTCTCTATGATAAATTTTAACTTTGGACATAGTCTCGTAAAAGCGGTCTTGCAAACTTCATCATCATCATAAGCCTTAAATTGTCCACTGCTGGACATAGACCTCTCTAGCAAGGAGTTTTTAGCCTACGAAACCACACTAGTCAGACTGTCAGATATAGGTTTTGTGTCAAGTTTTCCTTCTCTTTGCAGTGCTGTTGTCCTGAATAGTTTGTTCTCTTAGTTGGTTTTTACTATACCCACGGGATAAATAGGGGCGGTAACACTCCGTGTTACACTTCATTCGTCAACACACGGATACATACTTGCAAACTTAAGGGGTTGAAACCCAAACAACCCACACTTCATGGTATTTTTCATATTTTATATTCACTTAGTAGCATAGCTTATATCCAAATTTAACAAATTATTTAGCTTTGGGAATAATTTAATATGCCTTTTCATATTATTAATAATCCTTATTTTCCCACAAACATATTTATTGAAGCAGTATTTGCAAATATCAAATTTTAGCAAATTATTACACAATGTGACTAATAAAAAAAGCCTGTTCGTATTTTTAATAATCCTCCTTTTTGCAAACATTAAAGTTTAGGGAATTATTTGACAATTTGAAGTTATTATTCTCATTTATAAAATTACTCTTGCTCGTATTATTAATAATAATTATTTCCCCACAAATAAATGGTATTAATTTTCTTTTTCCAATTAAACACTTCATTTTCTGTTGTAAGTAGTAATACAATGTTTTGCCATATTACTAATAAATATTAACTATCACAGTTATGTAAATATCGATTGTATTTTGAGTGACAAAATTTTCAACACTTACCGATTGTATTTACTAGACTGCTAATAACGAACTGACAAAAAAATTATGCTATATGTAATTAAATAACGACTTATCAATTATAGTATTATCTTTATCAATGCTTCTATTGGTTATTAAAAAATATGACTGTTTTTGATTAATGTAATTTATCAATTAGAGTGCCGCAAGTAGGAAACTAGAGCCCTACAATTTATTTAAAGTTTTCAAGCTATTGCATAGCTTCTATCGCGGGCCTTGAGCGTGGAGACCGAATCCAGAAATTCCGTAACGAAAATAACCTAACACCCCCCACTCCGACCGGCACAGTGGTGATACTTTTTAGTTTTGCCATCTATCGATGAATAGCAGAACTTTTAAATGACTTTTATTAATGTAATAACATCCACATACAAACCCCCCCCCCCCCCACCAAAAATTTTATAATTGCATTAAGGAGGCATTGAAAATACCTCTCTTTCTCTCCCCTCCACTTTTTTCATTTATCCCCCCTTTGATTTTCTCGGTACCTGGAGCACTTGGACTCCCATGTTTGGGTTCGTCTGAACCGGGAAAAGGAGACGAACAATCTGGCCCCTACAGATTTTTTAGCTGGTATCCACGACTTTGTTCGTGTGGAATTTGAAAACACTGCCTCAGTGGGTTCGATTCCGGAGCCGGGCAAAATTCTATAGGGTTTTCCTAAGATAATTATTTAATACTAGCTGGTACCCGCGACTTCGTTCGCGTGGAATTTGAAATCGCTGCCTTACTGGGTTCGATTCCCGGCCGGGCAAATTTCTATAGGGTTTTCCCGAGATAATTATTTAATACTAAGTTTATTAATACTAAGTTGATAAAAAATGCCATGCAATAGCTTTACCGCGGCAGTTTTATACATTTTAATACGTCGCCTAATGGAAAGTGACTATCATCGATCATGAACACCTGCAACTTTAAGGTAGGATTAGGCTCCTTTCTCAAGTAACGCACAGTTGTGGAGTTATGAGTGGTGAGAATGAAGGAATGAATGAATGATGAATGAATAAAGTTGTCGACGGTTTTAGTAAGTGGAGTACTGCAAATGTTATGATTTAATATTGATATTGAGAATGCAAAGTGAAGCTAAAACTCTACATAACGCCAACGGGTCAAACCGATTGACAATCCTATGAATTTCAACGATTTTATTTCTTCTGGGGTCTACTACTGTAGCGGTCAGTATTGAGAACAATTATTTTTTCTATTCTTTTCTTTTAAATAAATAAACCCTAGAAAACCCCACAAAAAACACCCAGACTCAGAACAACAATTTGTGGATCACACAAGGTGTCGTCTCATGTGGGGATCTGACCCACAACACTCAGCGTGGTAGTAAGCGGCGTGGCGACCGTTTAAACCACTACGCTATCCGTGCCGTTAAATCTGGAGTCAAGCACACAGGTCACATAAAGTTAGCTGAAAATTTCTACCATAACGGATGGCAGCTTTGCACAATAAACTTTATTTAATAAACAATCAAATACTCTTTAAACGGCAGTAATTTAGTAAGTTTATTGCACACTTTGTTTTCAAAGTTAATCTCATACATACATATATTAAATATACCCTCGCGTCTTAAATTCCTGAAAGGGACGAATTCATCTTAAAACAAAAACAGCCATTGAGTAATTCCATAATAATCCGTGAAATCTTTTTCTACTTTGGCCAGAAATCATTTACATAGAGAGACTTTATAGAAATCATTGACACATTCTTTATTTTCAATCAAAACACATTCAAATAAAGCAATGAATAAAGTGTTTCACGATACGATATTACATTAATTTTGTTTCAATACAGACACAGTATATAAACACACATATAGAGTTATATAATTATTAAAATCTACGTAGGTAGATTGATTAGTTAACTCTATAAACCTTTCCTTCACTACATTAGAATTAACCTCATATACAGATTGATTTACAATAACTTGACAAGTTTAGTCACAGACAAAAGAAACAGACAGGGGTTACTTTATAATTTAAAAAAAGGGCATATCGTCTACCTTATACAACACGTGTGCTTTAAGGTTTATTCTATTCTTATAAGTTAGTTGGCCTGTTGATATAGTAGTTAGCGATTCTGTCTACTAAGCCAGAGGTCGTGGGTTTGATTCCCGCCGAGGACTAATATTGTGTAATGAAGCTGATACTTGTTGTCTGTTTGAGTGTAATTTGTATATAATATGTATGTCGGTTTTCGCGTTAAAAAGTAAGCTATGTTAATCGCTGATAATGTAGCTTTGATAGGATTTTAAAAATTGGTTAAGTGGTTAAGCCGTGAAAGCGTTACAAACAAATAAACAAACTCATTTGGCGCTCCACTGCTGTGCGCTTTTCGAGACCCTTTTTGCCCCGCACAACCAATCTGTGGAACGGGTTATCGTCTGCGGTATTTCCGGACCGATACGACCTTCAAACCTTCAAGAAAAGAGAGTACTCCTTCCCAAAAGGCCGGCAACGTGTTTGTGACTCCTGACTTGCAGACATTTGTGGGCGGCGATGGTCACTTTCCATCAGGTCAACCGTCTGCTCGTCGGCCCCCTCTGACATAAAAAAAAACACATTTATCATATAAGTATGGATGAATTTAGAAATATTTAAGCAACTAAATCGGCAGCCTGTTAACCATGGCATGACTCCGCCTAATTTGAGAGCAGACGGTATTGCGTGACAATTGTCAAGATATTTTTCTACCGAATTGCAGTCATCCATTTCAGAAACTTCATTATGGCATTAAGTTTGCGATAGACAGCGGATGGAGCAGAATAGAATATGTTGAATCCAGATTAATGCTTTTGACATGAAATTGCAAAACCTATTAAAAAAAACTTAATATTGAATAGTCACAGTCACACAATTGTCTCAACAATTGACCATGACTCAGAACACATAAACTCCTGCCTAATCTCTGATAATATATAATTTAAAAAAAATCCTTATCATTGTTTATCAAGTCGACGCGAGCGTTATAAATATTTAATATCATTGATATGTGTAATAATCCTTGAAGCTCAATCAACATTCAGAATCCGATATTTGAGAAGAAAAAATCAATTAGTCTACAGCAGTGGACTTATAAACAGATAGTGGCACTGTACCTGTTGAATTTACATCACGTACTAATAGTTCATATCTTACTCAGAACAGAGCAATTTCGATTACAACAGATAACATAACTTGTGTAAGTCATATGAACTGACTAAAGAAAACACTAACGATTCTGTTAAATTTCTTATGCTAATGTTAATATTATTACAGGGAAATAACAACAATGACAATTTTTTGTTATCATCTAAAGATTTCATTACTTAGATATAAACAGGCATCCCAACATAGTTTGAACGTTACAAACATCATAGAGACTATGAGGAATCGCTCAGAGTTAGGTTAAAGATGGTTGCTGATCAATCCTTCGTAACTCTGGCACTGTGAGAACACCACACACACCTTGAGGATAATTCACCAAATAATGTTTTATTAGATCAGGGCTCCATGCAGTTTTTTAATCCTATCTCCAATTATTTAAAGGTCCTTCAATTTAACTTCAATTCATCATGAATCATTTATGTTATACTTCTTATTAATATATTAATATGACTCATTTTATTGCACAATACAAGCTGACTCAATTTACACCGATTTTTGAAAGGCGTTTGGTCGTGTTGATTATTTGAAATTGTGATAGGATGTTAACCACTTCGGTATTTATTCAAATTATATAGATGGCATTATTCTTCTTAGCCCTTTCTAGCCGAGTCAGGGGTTTCACAAGGATTTCAATTGGGTCCTTGAATTGTGTTCTAATCAGTTATTCATTAACAATTGAAAGTTCTAACTACTGAATGCTTACGCGATTATCTTAAGAATGGTTAGACTTTTTTTAAACTTATCAAGTTGTGAAATTTTTCAAGCGGATATGACTACAAATTATGGACAACTCAATGTTCTCCAAATTCATAAAGGGTCAAGTCATTACTCTTTTCTCTTTCATTGTAAGTCAATAGTCATACCAGTTCTTTATTACCATTTTATTTAAGCTCAATACTTTTGTACAACCTAAGTTTTGTTCAACGATGCACTAATTAACTAGACACCTGTATATTCTATAAAGAAAATTTAGAGTCGATTTGTCAGAACTTTATACACAAAATTTGTCCTGAGGCTGATACTGAAACTTTAAAATACCTCCGCGATCTGTGTCCATACCAAACTCTTTACATAACTACTCAAGTGTAGTACGAGGTGGACATTACATGTAAAAGTATTGAATGAATTAATTTTAACTATTTTATTCACACTGACATGGCAAACAAGTCACACGATTATGTAAAATTCCAACAGATACTCGTATATATTTGACTATCCTGTAAGTTGATTAGTGATCCTGACTGCTAAGCTAGGAGTCGTGGGTTCGATTCCATCCTGGAAAATATATTACCTCCATGAGGAGAACGTTTATTTGTTTTGTGTTTGTATTTGAGTATGTCTATATTTATGTATTTAGAAATAAAAGTATCTTTGCCGGGCTCTGCTTAATTTCAGATGCGTATCATCTGCCGTGTGTGAGGTGTATCAGATCTGATTACAATTAGCTTCAGGTTTTAAACTTCAATACAGCTTAATTCAATTTTATGTATTGCTTAACCAGTTATCTATTGCCTAATAAATGAAAAAGCCTATAGTTTTTTGATAAAACTCTGTTAGGATTCTAAGATAATGTCAGATTCCACGTTTTGTTTCCTACACTGTACTGATAATGTGTAAGGGGTATGTGAGGATTAGCTGTAATCCGATAAACGATTAGTACCGGATAGAAAACGAATAGGTAGGTACAACGCTCATAAGGAAAAGGAAAATCGTAATTAAAATGCTTTTCGGATGATATGAGTGCAATCACATTAGTTGAACATTACGGATAATGATAATTGGTACATAACAGCATTATGATACAACTGTATCAAAATGAGAGTTATGCTTTTCGAGTGTAGTTTATATATAGGTTTATTTCTTTAGCATTCTCTGTAGGCTAAATGGCTTTATTGATTTTGGCTTGAGGGTGTCATTAAAATCGTTTTAATGATAAATGACACCGAGTAAATCAAAATTATACGTGGGACATACTGAAAGTGTCTGTATTTGGCCATTTACAATAAAAGAATGAAAAAACAAAATTAAGAATTTCGAAAATAGAACTCCTTAGGAATTTATGTGTTACTTTTAAATTTGCGTAACTGTCAGTTGTTTTTTCATTGTGACGTCTTTTCCAAAATTGTGTGTCGTTATCAAAATGAATTAAACTCGTGAACATTTTCGTTCAATGATTTTTTATGATTTTCGTTGTAGCTTAAGTCAACAAGAGAGTTGCCAGAGACTGCCAAAATAAGTTTAACGGAGGACAGTCATTGGCTGCCTATAATATTATCGTAACAGGTGACGAAACCTGGGTGTACTGCTTTCAACCCAAAAGAAAATAGTGGGTCTTTTGTTTTGAAGATTTACCGACGAAAGTTAAGAAAAGTCGAAGCATTGGTAAAAAAATGGTTGCTTCTTTTTTCCGTTCAGTATCGGCTTCAGTATCGCTTCAAGATAAAAGGAAGTGAGAAGATCAAAAGAAGGTACGTCAACACTTGTTTGCCTCGTTCTCGAAAAGCCTCCTTGAAGCAATGTCATTCTTCACCACGGTAGCGCATCCTCACATTCCGCTAAGGTAACAGAAAGGAAGGCTTCAAATGTGGAACTGATGATGCATCCACCTTACGGCCTGGACCTCGCACCCTGCGACTTCTTTTTGTTTCCAAAAAATTAAAGACAAACTTAGAGGCACATGTTTTATGAGCCCTGAATCGGCGGTGCA